AAGATTAAAACATTAAACTATTAAAATACGGTATGCTTGTGTTTCTCACTTTGACTCAAATTCAGTGTCAGAGAGGAGAGCTATTAAAAATTCAGATGGATGGTGCATTATTCATATATATATTTTACGCACAGCACGCAACCAAGTAGCGCACACATACACTTACACACTGTCACATGCACAAGGAGATATTGGTGTGCACACTGGCAAACATGCATGCTTATGCCACACAAACATACAAACACACACACAAGGATAATCGCCTTAGTACAGTAACCCATTTAAAGCATATCTGAGAGTGAGAGAGAGAGAGAGAGAGAGAGAGAGAGAGTGAGAGAGAGAGAGAGCACACATTCGCCCACATACCAAAATTTTCAACAATGTTCAAGGAATCGAGGACACTGCGTCATCCCTCATAATCACCCAGCAGGATCACTCTCCACCTCTATGTGTATGTATTTTGTATGTATATCAATGATTGTGTGCGGCGGTTCAGTGAAATAAACATACTGTGCAATGCATGAGTGCACTTCAAACATCTCCAACATGAATCACAGCAGCAATGTCAATGTAAATTGGCCAGGTTATGGTTTGGAAACAAGGTCGAGATGAAGCAAACAAAGATGCCGCTGAAGGGCGTTTTTGATCGGCGTGCAATTGAACACAACATTCATCACACCTGATATCAAATTGTGAAATTTCTTAACGGACACGATTTGTCTGACAGCTGTAAAAAAGACCACATGCAAGCTAAAATTGAGCAGGATGAAGCTGCAGGTCCTCATTTCACTAACTCTCAGTTTGTCCTTGTCCCTGTGCCTCTTCATTGGCACTGTCAATAACACTCTGGATCATGTTACCCTCTGTTAATACTCACTGCAACTCTTGGACTGCATCCTAAGCTACTCCCATTTCTCTGTTTATCATTATTCTGATATGTTGAAACAGGCGTGATGCAATAAACAAGATCTGATTACCCAACCTGGCAACCGCAATGACAGTCACAGATAGTCTGTGTGCAAACACCTCCAAAAGATGATGGCGAATGTAAATACTTGACACCACTGATATCCAGCAGCACAAGGGCTAGGTATACACACACACACACACACACACACACACACACACACACACACACACACACACACACACACACACACACACACACACACACACAAGCAAGCATGCACTGCAAATCTCCAACAGAATGGACAAATAGAATACCCCTTAATCCAAAAATACACTGAAAGCAACAGACACACATTTCAATTTTGTTTTCAATGGCTGAATGTACACCAAAGGCACTAAGTGGTTCTGGTGTCTCTGAAGTATTGTGAGTCACACCTTTTTTTTGTTGCCGAAGTGCATATCAATACAACAATTAATTTATCAAGAAGTAATAATTTTCATGGTAAGTGAACACAGTAAATACACCTGTTTGTGCTTCATTATGAAATCCCTGCTGCACAGAAATGACATACCAGATACAGGAATAACTGGTCTGACTTTAGTAGCAGAAATGATAACTCAGGATTAACTAGACCTCATTATGCATGATTGTACAAGACTAAACACTCTCTAAGACTGTTAGCACAAATGCTGTTATTGTACAGATCAGTAATATAGTATAGTGTATTGCAGTCTGTATTATCAGGTGTGCATAAAGGCAGATCCACACAACATGTGTGCTGTGCCATTGATAAAAACAATACAAGAAAAGCCATGTAAACAAATGAATGGATTCTATCTATCTATTCTATCTATCTATCTTCTATTCTCTTGTGGGAATTTTTTATTTTTTAATATCTTTAAATGTCTGTGACATTCTACATATATACACACTGAAACCTCAACTCTTTAGAGAAGCGTTGCTGCACCTGAGACACATGGCTCATGCGGGCAGTGCTCTAACCTGTGAACATGGGGGGAAAAAAGCAGGACATTCCGCCACGCACAAACGCTGCTGACTGTGGACGGGGCTTTAGACCTTTGCTACTCTGTGTAAAGCTTCAGTACAGCTTCAGGTTTAGTTATTTTTAAACATAATATAATAAATATCTCTTTTTACACCAATCATAAACTATGCGTTGCAACCAGATGTCCTGTGGGAACAGGGAAACTATGTTGCATTAGCCTGCATTAGCTGGTCAGCAATGGATGAAATAAAGCATAAATATGGCTTTGAGTCTTGGGTCGTGTCCTAAATTTAGAAGTACCAGTCGGGTTCAGTCAGTCAAGCTTTAAAGATGCCAGTTTAGGTAATTTCCCAAAAGCATCTTAAGGTGTAACCAGCAGTAGATTTAGTAGCACTAAATCCACTTTTCTCAGTTCTAAAAAGATATCTGTGTACAGTCACTTTATTACACTATCTATTGATCCTGATTCCATTCAATAGTGTTGGTTACAACAGTATTTTTTTTTCCTTTCCCCCCTCTCAATTGCTCTTTCAGCAACATCATGTTCACAGTTCAACAGTTACCTATATAAGTGCAGTTCTATGAATTCTTAATTACCAAATATCTTGGCATCAAAACAGCTGAAAGTGGCTGAAATGGTGTAGAAAGTCAGGGGAAAGATAGCAGGTGGAAAGGAGGGTCAGTGGTCGTGGGGGCTGCGTTAAATGCAGTCTCTGAATTTGTGAAGGGGGGTTGTTCAAGTCGGAACTGGGTGTTAAGTTGCTTTTTAAGACTAATCGTTGCTAAATCCATCTTATGAATCTTCTCCATCTTAACAAGTGCTCCCCAAAAGCATCTTAGAAATTCCTGCAGGAGGCACTAAAAAACACGTTTCAGTGTTATTGTTTTTTTGTTCATTTATTATACACTATTTATGACCTCTGATACTCTGTGTTAAGTGATGTTTGATGTAAAATGACTGGTGATGTTTAAATAAGAAACTAAGACAATAAAAGTAACATGCTGTCCCCATTGTCCTCTCACTCTTTTTGCATAACTAAATTAATATATGCCACTTTCCTGTTTTATGTTTCCATAACGTCTCTTCTCTTTTTATATATGCCACATGTTGTTTGCCACATGCTTATCCCGTAGCTCTAATACAGAAACGATGGCAGAATAACATTCACAGCTGATGATGTGCATACACAGTATAGTTTGAATTTGTGCCTAAGAGTTACATCTGTACTTTCTTAAACTCACTGCCAACTGCTCATTGAGCTTTGTTTTCATACTAAATGATTCCAAGTATTCCTATTGTGTTTACAACATTTTCACTTTGTGACTTATGTATTTTTAATATACAGTCAAAAACATCACATTACTTTAAAGTGTATCTAGAATTATATTAAGTGTTTTTAAGGGTGTGCCTTGCCCTCCTTAACTGCTGCTTTGGGTGTGTAAGTGTGTAAAAACCTTTGTGGAAAACACTGTTAATTTCAACAGTACGATCGATCTGGAAACAGGGCCCTGGTTTGGTCTCAGCTGTTTGCCTGCACAAAATGTGCTTTATGCACTGACTGCTACAAATTGTGCTTGTTTACAGTGTTAATGTCACATCATATGCTGACAACAAAAGTCACATAATTTTTTTAAATTGGAAAGGTGATGTTTTTGGATGAATTGCATTCACATGCCGTCAGAAAAACAAACAAACAAACTAGGGATGTCACGAGAACTGATACTTCGGGACTGAGTCCATGCCAATGGTCTGAAAACATGACAGTACTTTCTATAGTTTTTCTACAGTACCATAGGTAATGAGGATTCAATTTTCAATTCTTCGGGGCCTGATGGGACACCTCCTGTACAGTCGAGTGACTGTCACACATGCTCTGCAGAGAAACACAGAGAGACGCTCTCTGGCGCAGATACGGCGGATAGACCAGGTAAAGCAAGAGCAGCGAACACATCAGCTGGTGCCAACGTAATTTGGTACCCTGTTGGTTTCGATCATTTTGATAGGGTACGTCATTAACAACGAGCCTCCCCCCACGCGACTCACCTGCTGATGATAAAACGGAGTTGTGGTGGAAAAATGCAACGCAAGTTTATAAATCATACTGCTGAAGAAAGTCAACAGAGACAGAGACAGAACCCAAACCTCTTCTACTGCAGGTACATGCTACTCCACAGACCAGTGCAGGTATGTGTGTGTCTGTGTGTGAGGAAAAGAGTACAGAAAGGAAAAGCAAGGTGAGCAGATTAAAGAAGTTTGTGAGTTAAGTATGGAATAATGAGAAAACAATCTATTAGAAAAGTGACCACTGTTATTTTTTCAAATGTTTTTAAGTTAAAGTACATTGATTTATTGTTTTGTTTTGATCGTGGTATTGAATAAGTATGGAGAAGAGTGGCATTTCACTCGTATTGGTATTAACTACAACATTTTTGGTATCGTGTCATCCCTAAAACAAACAAACTATATCATACAACACAATAGCAAATGAAAACACTTGAAAAGCAATATGGTATCTGCTTTAGTTAAAATGTATTTTTGCTTTGATGGGTCTTATACAGCAGCTCTCAACATTTATACCGGCCTCTCTTTGGTGCATGCTGCCTGCACTTTCCCTTACATCCACCCCACTCTATATGCCACTACAGGCGTAAACTGACTGTAATATACCTCAGGATATTAGCTTAGAGCAGGGTTTCTTAAACCTTTTATGGCATGCCCCCATTTAGAAGCTGAATCCATTGATCCATGTTAAATGTTTGAGAGCCAATGGTTTGGAGTAAGACAATATAAGATCTACCTGGACAGGGAGCCTGCAGAGGGAGTGGTTTTAATTTTCATTCTGGGCATTCTGTGTTTAACAGTGATCTATGATTCGGGGGTCATAAATCATAATGTCGTATGCTTATTTTTCATACAGCCAGCTTTATATATGCGTTGTGCCATCTTTTCTAAAACACATCAGCTCTCTGACCCACAGGGACGCGTCAAGGTGAGATGATACACGTCAAACAAAGTCTGTAAACATTTACATCACACACACCCGTGCCTGATAACGCCAGCAGGATATGGCACACCAAACTTACCGAGCACACCAAGCCGATAGTTCATGGTGACCACAATGACGTTTCCATAGGCAGCAAGGACGCTGCCATCGAACATGTTCCCTGAGCCCTCCATGTAGGAGCCTCCGTGGATGAACAGCATCACCGGCTTCTTGCGACGATCCCGAATATCTGCGCAACACAGACAAACAATGGTGCTTGTTATATTCATGTTAATCCATTCTTATGTTTAGCATGCACTCACACCTCTTAAGAGCCTAGTGAGCTTAAGTGTCCACCGGCAACAGGTAGTCTACCTAGTTTAAGCAGACAGCTCTAGATTTGAATAATTTGTATGTATTTAAGTAAACAGATCTATATGCAGCTTGTTCTAACCTCCTGCAGCCAGCGATTCACTAGAAAAAAGAAGACAGAGGTATTAAGTATGAAACATTTTCAGCAGACTGCCTTTAAGTTGGCAGCAAGAATTTCATGTCTACCCCACTGGGCTTTTCCTCTATATTTTATTTTGTGACGTCTGTTTCCCCTGGCCTATGATGGTACCCTCCCAAACTGTTATTCCCCTCCATGTGTGGAGCAAATGGTGCAGCCAGTTCTGATGTCCTCTCTGTTATTGGTGTCTTTGTGCCCATCAGTGTGTTGCTATGGTTCACTCTGTTGGCCCATGTGCCACCCACCCACCCCGACCCCTCCCGTCATGAAACCCCCCTCTCAGAGCGTCTGTGGTATGGTCTGAGTGTCTGAGCATGGATAAGGCTGAGAGAGCTGCCAGTGCACCCCATTTAGACTGAGCGTCTGCACTGTGCAGGGCCTGTGGATAATTTGTATGAAAGCCAGACCAAGTGGAAACATAAATAACAGCCACAGCATCTGTTTACCCTGATGAGCTTCAGCACTCAGAGATGGGGGGGAGACAGAGAGATATGAGGAGAGAGAGAGAGAGAGAGATAAAAGGGGGTAAGACAGAGAGAGGCAGGAGATGAAAATAGGGCAGTGTGAGAAAACTGACAGGGGTAGAGACATGGATGGGAGGTTCAAACCAAAAAAAAACATGATGGCAAGGATGAAGAAATATGAAATGTTACAAAGCAAGTCATACATAGCAAGGTACGCTAATGAACACTCAAATTCACACAGGATTCACACCGTATTCATACAGAGACACACACACACACACACACACACACACACACACACACACGCACACAAACTCTTGCATAGGCAGCTGCGATGTTGAGTCGCTATGGAAACTGCTTCTCGCTAATAGAACTGCACCAGCCATTCCATTGCACCGACTCACTGAATGCCTGTTGCCTTGGTAACAAATTCTACTCACGTATTTGCACACCCGCCTGCATCACCACCTGAATCTCAGGTTACACATGCACTTGGGTGCGTCACTCACAGTCGCGCGCACACACACACGCACACGAGTGAGCACAGAAAAATGGCACATATGGCTTCACACATACGTATGACACAAGCAGACTGGCTAAAAATAAAAAATTTCAGTCGTACACTCCGACGTGCTGCTCTTTTTCATCTCCTCTCTGGTGTATATTGAACCTCGGCTGATTTCCCAGAGGATATGTAAACAAGTTCAATTATCCCGGCATTACCAGGACAGTATAGAGGAGTGACATATCAGCAGGCCGTCACACTCACAGTAACACTAAATCTTGAGAGAAAGGGAACTTTGGCCATGACATGTAGTTGCCATTTTAAAGGCCCAACTTTTAAATGAATGTTTTATTGCTGTGTTTACAGAGATAATTCTTGTACACAGATTTGATGCAAAGTTACCTGTAAAGCATCACAACAACACCAATTAGCCACCGATTTTGCATTGCACTTGTAGGACATTGTCAAGGAGATAGTCAAGGAGAAAAATTGATGCAGCAGAACAAGAGATATTGTCTTTTTTATTCCACACATTCTTCCTCCTAGTCAAACCTGATGCTGTCATTACTTACAGCCTGACTGCTGCCAGTTTGGTTGGAGATTCGGGGGTGTTATGCAGAGGAGTGGGCGACAGAGGTCTGATAAACTCACTTCTTCTTTCAAACTCCACACCCCCCAAATTTATATCATTTGCAAATGTGTAGTCTATAGCCTCACATGGTTCTGACTCAAGTGACATCAATTGTGGCAATTTATCAGGTTTCATGGAGCCACAAAAGGCTTTATAGAACTTCTTTCACATATGTGGTTATACTCTCCAACACCCGTAAACACACTTTATGTTCCCCTTTAAATTTAGTAGTTGTTCAATCTTTAGTGTCCTGTGGGTACCGCGTGCTGTAAAGCACTTTGGATCAATTGTATTGCATGTAAAGTGCTACATAAAGTAGTGACAGGAGAGTTTGTTTTTTGTAATTATTATTATTTATTTATAAGCATTTAACAACTAGAGCCCTTTTCAGATTTTTCATAGATTTTCAATGCATTTAAGTTGTTTTACCTCTGAGAATACACAAAGTTCACAAAGTAATAATATAGTTTTACAGGGTATCAAGGTCATTACTCTATGAAGTGACTCCAAAATGACCCTTTTTGTTTCACTTTCAGTTTTTTTAAATTGTCAATCTGTGAACAAAAGAGGAGTGAAATGATTTTTTTCCTAATAATCCAGAACCACCGAAACCTCTGAATAATTAAAAGTTGTAACTTAAATATTTGCGAAGCCCAGTAAAGGCTAGAAGAAAGCCAAAAAAAAAAAAAAAAACTAAATGGAAATAAAAATCCATTCATTTTGGAATAAAAGATAAAAAGCTCATGCATACCTACAATGCCTTAATGACAGGTGGATAGGAAAAGGTCCAAGGAAGTGTGAAAGAAGAAAACTTCTCGCAGTCTATCTCATCACTTGTACAAACTTTATTCTGACAGCATTTTTAGGGCTTTAGACTAATCTTAAAAAGAGCATTTCTCGAGTTCATATTAATATAAAATCTGGACACATGGTATAGATATTTCAATGGGAATACAGGCAATTGGCTGGCAAGGCAATTGTCTGGTTATCACATCATCTGCATAAGATGGTCACTTTTGTGCTACAAAGCATAATAAAAAACAGATTTAAAAGAAGAGAAGAAAACAGAGTTGGATGTGTGCTGAAGTGAGGGAACTGGTACAGGGATTGGAAGGGGCTCAGCACAAACAGAGGGGTGATTTGGGGTGCAGGGTCGCAGGGTGAAAGTGTTTCACTCAGCCCAAATCCAAGGTCTATATGGCCAACAAGGAGCTCACTGTCTCTCCCGCCTGCCTCCAAAACACTGGCACATTATTCACTTCTCTCTTTTCAACCTAACCTGATACTATCCTCCTCAATTCCAACCCCCCACCTTACATCTATTCTCAATGTAACGTCTTATGTTATGTCTCCCAATAGAAACTGCCTACTTTCAGCTTTTCCATTATTCTGGTCCTCTCTCATTCATTCTCTTATGGAAATCTCAATTGATTTGGGTGTGAAAGTTTTAGCCTGACTCAGCACTTGGATATTGTTTGCACCCAGAGCAATGCAGTTTCTCGCAAATAACTTTCAAAAAACAAGATGCTAATAATAGTATTTTCCAACAATGTTTGGGAACCTGTGTCCAATCTATACCTGAGCAATTAAGTGAGGAATTCAGGCCTACCCGAGCCCTCCCGATCCTGTCAAGATCCATCAGGTGTTGGCATAAATGTCAAGCTCTACCAGTCTCCTACTCATCCACCCTCTCAATCTCTCTTTCTCTACATCTCTCTCACTTTCAAAGCTCTATAAATGTCATTTCATCATGCACTTGTCTTCATTATGACTATTTTTTCCCTTCTCTCCCCCTCATTGCCCTCCCCTGTGCTCTCGCAGTGCTCAGCTTTTCCTTTTCTTTCATCTCTATTCTATCATTCTGCTCCTCTCCTAGGCAATCCTGCATGAATCCTTCCTTCTGTTTTCACCGTTAAGAAACCACACAATTGGATTAGCTACATCTGTCTCTTTTTAAACCATAGCAATTAGAGATGCAAGGGAGAGAGAATTCAATACCCAAATAGCACGGAGCCCAAAATAAAAAAAAGCCACACACATTGGCACAAATTAGAGCACATGCACTCAGGCGTAGACTCGCACATGTGCAGACTGTGCTTGAGTACGCACATGCAAATGGAAATGTAATGCAACGTACGTGTGCATAATGCAATGTAATATACAGTATGTTTGGGCACGTGTACAGAAAGAGATGCACACACTGCATAGATTTTGGCTGCATCACTTAAGAGTAATGAGAGCATCTCCATTTGACTGCAGTGAACTTGAAAATGTACAGCAATAGCAAAAAAATGTGCAGGAATCCTCCAGTTCTTCCTACTTTAAAAATGAAATATTGGCGGAAGCCCAATAACATTATGAAGGACAATAATTTAGCAGACCATTTCATAAAGGACTTTAGTACAAGAATAAAAGCGCAGGTGAAAAAGGACGGAATATTGATTTTTGGTGATGCATCACACAGGATAGTCAGAACATCAGCGTGTGGTTGATCAACCACATAGCAACCGAGAGAGGAAAGTAAATTAGCTCCCCCTGCAAGTACCCAAAAAGCAGCATTTGTGATGGGGTGGGAATGAAGAACAACTATTTTGTATGGAGCTCTTTATGCATTTCAGCTAAAGGCGTGCATGTGAGAAGGAATGACAGATTTGTGCGCTAATAAAAGCAGTTAACAGCGGACAATATGATGTGCACACAGAGTGATGAGTCTAAGATGATTATTAATACAGATACAAACACAACATTCCCCACAGAGTTTGAAAAATGGAGCACGAGGAGAAAAAACAACAACCATGCAATTAAAATACCTTCATCCCTTGGTCTGTTCATTGTAGACTCATCTTGTTTTTTTGTAAGCGGACCTGAGGTTGAGAAAAGGGGGGGGGGGAATGGGGGAAGACAAAATTCAAAAAGATTGCATTTGTAGAAAAACAGAAAACAACAGAAGATTAAACAAGAAAAATGTCAAAAGATGAGACGTTATGCTCGGTTACATTTCAGTGACTGTGTACAGCTGAAGACAAAACAAGGATTACACACGGTTTCCTGAAAAGAGAACCCCAAACTCATCTGTTTTAACTGCTTAGGATCTAGTCACGGACTGTCTCATAAATGACCCCGGGGGCCACTTCTCCTCGACCCTTCTCCCAATCAGTCCTGACACACTGCTGCTTTGTAAAGAAAAATCAATGAGGAGAATCAAGCCATCACTCTTTTCTGGCAGAAAAAGCAAAGGAATGCCAAGACACTCTGTAACCTGCTCCAGCTCAGTACAGTGTTGCAGTCCTAAAGCAAAAGTCCCTGCACGATCCAGAGAGACTAGACTGTCAAAACATAATACTGAAGAAACACACACACACACGCAGGCAGGGACAGATACTCATCCTGAATACATGTGACCACGTACACACATTGTGTGCAGAGAAATGCCTGCACAGAGCCTGAAAAGTGAGTCTTTCCTCCCAAATTAGAAAAGAGGGAGCTGATTTTGATATTTACACCGCCTGCAAAGTCGACAGGACAGTTGACAGGATTCCCCTCACCAAGGTCAAAGAGGAGCCCCACATTAAGCTTTAATGGTAGCACCAGTTAAATGCTCCATAGGGCACAGCCAATAACAAGCATTTATCACGGTGACCAACCAACACCCTGGCACGTCAACCTCTGTAAGTCTTAACTGATAAGGATCCCATTAATTTGTTTTTTCTTGGTTTCTGTCAGTGGAGCTTTCCATCAGCCCACAATTACCGCTGTGTTTCGTGTCGTTCTCAGTCACTGTCTACATACGCACGTTTTAGAGAAAGCCATTAAAACACACTCACGTTCACACTCACACCCAGCCCCACACAAATTAAACGTCCGCACACTACACAAAGCATGCTAACAGTGCCCTTATCATCTGTTGCTGTCTTCCTCGTACCCACCCAGTAGCACACTCCCTGCTCTCCGGTGAGGAGGCGTTGCAGTCTTTCATTTTAAAGAATACTCTATGTTGGACTGCCAAGGGGTTTATCACTCTGCCAGGGTGCTGCTGACATGTCTGTTTCTACCATTCTGCTAGACAGCTTTCAGTGAAGTGATGGAATATACATACTGGAGGCAAGCATCACTGCACTCCACCATTATAATGCAGCATTTTCACTCAACTCTCTATAAGAATATGGTTTCCTGATATAAAATGTTTATCTTCCGTCTAAATGGAGAAGGATCAATGCTGAATGGATTTGCTGCATCCTCAGGCGCCTGATCCAGAGAGCACTTCCTGCCATGGAGGGAGAGGGTACAGTAGTTGGTCCTGGGCTACAGAGCAAACAGGTAGACAGACCGGTAATGGATAAAAAGGCACATTAGTCCTTGGTCTTGTCAGCACTTCCCCACTACTTAGCACCACTCTAAAACCACACCTTGCTGCTTAATGGAGACTACTCTGATTTCATTTGTTTTCTAATGCCTAATAAAGCGCTAACCTATATGAGAGGATAAGCTACGCTCAAACACTTTGTAATGGACCGTCAGACTTCCTCCTAAGACTTCACACAGGCATCTCACCTAAAGTGAAGATGCATCTCCTAAACTTTTAGGTAAAAACTTATGTGCAAATGACACCTAACTTGTGTCCTTTCGTGTTTAGGATTATTTTTATTGTCAACTTATCTGCTGTCTGTCGATAACTTGACTGTTCAGTCTATAAAATACCAGAAAATACTGCAAACCACCACAGTTTCTCTTGAATAACCATAGGTATTCCAATTACAAGGGTATTCAATTTATATATTATATTTATATAAGCTCCACATCTGAGGTTTGAGCTCAATGAATGACAAAACCATCACATTTTCTGTCTGTATTTTTGCTGTATTTCCATTGATTGACTAACTAATTTAATAGTTTCTGTACTAGTTGTTAGAATTGTGGCTAACTTAGTGCAGGCACAGAAATAAACAGGATTGCTAGATCCTGATGTGGGCTAGATCATATGTGGTTGTTATTTGGGGGCAAATGAATAATAAGATAATAAGCACAAACCAAATTTATTTAAAAAAATATCTGCATTTAAATAAATGGTCATGGCAATATCTAGGTCTTGATTTCTGACAACAAACTTCTGTATTAAAGAATATCTTCAATATATTAGAAAAGACAAAAAACTAGGATGTAGCCAAAGGTAAACACAGAGGCAAGCACTCTTTTTAGGGTCAAAAACATCTGACTGTCACATGACGTAATGGGCCACTGGTCACTGAAATGCATTGGCCTACACAGGAGCATTTAGCTTGGATTGTCCCAGTACTGTTTGACCTAATGCAGCTCCAGCTCTCAGTCAACAGCATTTCTGTTCGGTTCAGTGAGCTAGTGGCCAGAGCGCAAGCTGTCTGCCGTCCCTCTCCATTTCCTCAGTGCAGTAAACGGGATGAAGCTGCACTATGTCATGTCTATGGTGGCCTGTCTGCTTGACAAGGTGTCAGACACAGCTTCGGTTCAACCCCCTGCATCCAGGCAGCAGCTTCCAGCACATGCAGTCCTATCTTTCTGCTTTTAGTCTCGTCTACTGTGCCCCCAGCCTCCAGCTCCATCCTTGCCTCCACTGTCCTGCCCCCTGAAATATGGTTTTTAATAAAGAGCACGGTAAATGGCTGCTCTAGCGGCAATAAAAATGAAGGATCTCAGGCCCTTGGCTGAGGAGTGTCTTGAGGAAATAGGAATGCAGTGAGACAGCGCTCTTGCCTAGAAGCCTGGCCAAACAGGACAGTGAGGGTGAAACACTGTAGAAGGAGGTAAGGAGCAAGAAAGAGATAAAGGGCCTAAAAATCACAGTTCAATCCACAGGAACACTTGTTTTTTTACATTATTCGAAGAAGTTATTTGAATTTCATTAGAGTTGAAGAAGTAGACGGCTACATAGTGGCCTGGTGGGGAAGGGCACGAAGATCATTTGCATTCAGAACAGTGACCCCTTCTACCGCCATCTGCATAAAGATGGAGGAGAGAGGAGAAGAGGCAGGGATGATTTCAGGGAGGAGAGAGCAGAAGGGGTGAACAGATGCAGAAAGAAAAGAGAGCTGTGAATTTTCTTTTGTCCCAACAATAAAGCAGAGAACTTGTTCAGTGAGAGTATTTGTAGGTCTGAAACAGATAAAGGCACGACTTAAGGTAGAATGGGAGGATAATACTCTGGAGATTAAATGTGTCAAAATCAAGTCGTGCAGGCCAGATTTGGCACCCAAAACATTTTGATCCAGGCTGCCGATGATTCTGTGCTGCCAATTCATTTTGGCCCACTTACATCCGCCATGAGTGGGAATGCAGCTGCTCGCTGCCAAACACAGCACAATACAGCACCGACGTCCTCCCTTTAAACACGCTTGACCATCACCCACTGATACCAAGTTAGCAAGTTAACCCACAAGCTAAGTCAGGTTAAGTCAATTTACTTTTATAGCCCAATATTAAGTCACAAATTTGCCTCAAGGGATTTCACAACCCTCAATGTGGATGAACTCAGTCTAGCTGAAACAACACTAAGAGTTCACAGCTTTGAGCTAAATGCGATGCTAACATGCTTCTCACTGACAATGCTGATATGCACATGTTTAGCACATATGTTTATCATGTTCATAATCTTAGTTTAGCATTGTGGCATGCTAACATTTTCTACTTAGCACAAACAAAGTACAGCTGAGGCTGGTGGGAATTTCATTAGTTTTGCAGGTATTGGCCATAAACACAGTCCTAGACCACCTAATCCAACCACCCAATAGCTGTTGATAAATCTCACTCAAAACCACCTGAGATACGGATTTCAGTCGGGACATTGCTATCCCTGGAGATACATGGCCAGCACAGCTAAAAACATAAATGCAGAGCTAAACGCAGACAATTTGAAGACACATGACACACCAGATACAGCTTGACATGTTTTTATTCCATCAGGATGAGCGCTGTGTAGACAATTTGAAGAAATTACCAGTTTTATCTCAGAGGACTGTGTGAAGTTTAAAATCAGGTGTAACTTTGCTTTTTTGTGGTTCATCATCCTACTTAAAATATGATCATCGGGACTGCCAATCAAATCTGCATTACAGTCCCGATGAAGCAGACTAGCAGAGCTTTCGAGTGTTAAACCCTTGCAAACAATGCCTAAGAAGTTTTTTCCCAGAACTTTAACTTTATTAACCCATGAAAATTTAACATCACAGTGAAATACTTGCATTTTCAGAAGGCTTTGAAGCTGGTACTTCTCACATAATCGCAAGTCTAACACCATGTAAACTATTTGTGGGATTGTGACAGCAGTTAAGTGCAAAATGTAGTGTGTTTGATTTCAGGGGCACTTCACTCTCCTTCAGTCTCTATTTCTCTCTCACACACACAAGGCAAAACATATCCTTGGGGACAGCATCAGCCTTGTGTAAGCAGTGACCCCTGACAATAAGTGACAGATTCTGACAAGCAGACAGGGCTACATGTAAAATCAGTCTCACTCATTTGCACACCTTCTCCCCTGGGAGACACAGGACTCTACATCGCCCTCTCTGTGAGTATGTGACGTACTATACAGCATACGTACTTTAACCGCAGAGCTCTCATTCTACCCATGTATGTACACTTTCCAATATATTAAGAGTAGTTCAAATCATTTGACAGTCATCTTCTCTGTTCAGATGTTGGCAAAGAAGATCTGCTTCTCTCTGTTTCCCCACTTTGTGCTACAGTAATACTATATATTTTTTACTAGCAATTACTCTGTTTCTTTTTGTTCAGCCATGGGGAGCATTAATCAATAAAATAAATAATTTACAACATTGACACAATGTATGGTTCCAGCTTTAGTGTTAAAACACAACAATGACTTCATATATGAGCAGCAGCAGCAGTAATGCAGTAAAGCAGTAAATAACATGTGGTTTCCAAGTACTCTCAGGCAACTCTCAGGTGAGCCCATTAATCATAGACTTTTTAACATTTTATCATTAGCCTTGCTTACTAATATCAGTAGCATATGCTTTGCCTCCAAAGTTACACTTTGATCCTGTGTTCTTTTACCTGCCCATCGGCTTTCTCAAACGCTCTCCACTGATCATTAATGCAAGAAGTACACCCAGATAGCCCGTGAAGAGGTGGAGGTGATCTTCAGTTTTTTACTAATTTCACCCCAGGAGGCCTAAACAAGGTTGTCTTTGGCATTGTCTTTGCTATATTTTCTTCTAACCTAGCTGCCAAGATTGTATTCCTAGTCTAACCACAGCAGCCACCTTGCTGCACCCATGCAATACAAACCTGAAGAGTTTGTAAAAAGGCATCATTCCAGTCAAACCATGAAAATGGCTTGTGCTACTGAAAACACAGTTAATTACAGCACTTTGCTGATTAGTTTGATACAAAACCAACACATTTATAAATGCAACCTTTGTAAGACAGTTTGTCAGTAGTTAAAATCCAGCCATCATGAGTAATGGTACAATAAACAATAATGCAGTAAATGACAATCTTAGTCCTTCAGCTAAATTAAATGATAAAAATGTGCAATTAGTTTAGCTTGCTTTCTGATGAATAAAAGTAAATGTGTCTTTTTCATATACTCGAATGGACCTCTGCGACTGGCAAAATGGTGGTCACATGACCGTCAGGGGACACCAAACCCACACTATGGCTAATTAGCTAATCTGCTAGCATGTTTAGTGCCAGCTTACCACAGTTGGCTGTACGAGCTGTTACAATGTTATGTAATAAGACCACACACACTGCCTCTAGGTTTGATGATGTTGTTTCATGAGCTTTTCAAATGTTACACTTGATATATTTTAGCAGGAACGGGTAATTGAAATTCAGCTGCATCCGGTTCATTATCTGACATATCTGTAGATATTCTGAACAGAGCTGGTGGAGGTCTTTTGCTGGACGACAGAATTCGTATACAATTATATACACATTTAATACATAAATTGAATATTCATATTCCTTAAAGATATTTAAATGTAGCAATAAAGGGGGTTGTTACTACGAGTGTTCCTAGTTTCTTTTATAACCATTGTTTATACATTAAATGCACATTACTGGTTTAGATTACATTCAAATTACAATGTAAGTGTAAGTCACTGGTTTGTTAAAACTAAATAGAGGGTTAGGTTTAGGGTTAGAAAGAAATGTGACTTTTGATTTGATTTTTATTGCATATCGGCCTTTACTATAGACAGTTTCAACACATTTTTCAAGGACAGTTCCATTATGGGATTATTATTAAGTATTCTCTCATGTTTGAAACAGACAAGCAAGCAAGGCCACTAAAAAGTTTGTTGTGATCACTAATTGACCAACTCAAGCATTCAATTCACTGACCATGAAACTGGATCTGTTGCAGTTATGTTGACGTTGGTGGTACTAGCTAGTTACCGTGCTTTCACAGGTTTTGGAAAACTTTTTCAATGCAGGGACATACGTCTGTGAATAATTTGGTCTACTGGTTGAAGTAACAAAATGTTAATGGTGTCAGTGAGTCACTTTTTGATTTACAGCAGTGGTTCACTTTGTTCAGTCACTCAAAACACGTGCGACTTAATCTGCATTTCTCATGCGAAAGGTTAATGTTGGCAAGTTCACACAATTTAGTATTATGAGGATATAATGCTCATGCATGGTTTAAACAAATTAGTGTTAGTCAAGCTAAAAGGTAGCTTGTCACAATCTGGCTAATTAGTACAAAAAGCATCTAGCTAGTAGAACATGTTCTGTATGAATTTTGAATGTGTGATGAATTGTTAAAATTAATTAAATATGAGCAATAAAAGTTAAGTGTATCTAATTGCTTAACAGAGTATTAGCTCAACACAGATTGCATATGTGAATATGCTGCAGTAATAACAGAGAATGACATTAATACAAGCCCAGGAGATTATCAGAGAATATATCTTCAGTAATCTTCTACATGTCTTTTGGCTCACGTTAAGAGCTCTTCTTCCATGGAATGTAATCCTGACTAACAGATCAAAGTGACTACTCCAGGGAGTACGGACACAAATATGAAATTTGAAAATGATTAGAAAGGGACTAGCTGTTCTTACACTCTAAAACAGTTGTGACACACACTAATCTTTTCTCTCAAAGAGGCAGATCTGCGATTTTACTCGTTTACCGATCTATTCCTGACCCCTTCTTAATGCAATTTTACAGGCCAAAAAGATCAGCTCTCCCCCTACATCTTGTATGAGAGTCTCACTCACCATCTTCAGTGGGTACATAGATGTTGAGGTAAAGGCAGTCCTCACTCTGGTTCTGAACATAGGTTGCTGCAGCATCCAGGTTGTCTGTGAACCACACTGGTAGCATGATCTCAGGTAAAACCCCATGCACATTCTGGGGACACACTGGCGCAAACTGGGTGGCATTGCGAATCTCTTGCCAGGAGCCTGGAGCTTCAGGAGGTTGGAAGCGGCGCTCGCCGATAGGAGCGGTGGCATATGGCACACCTAAGAACTGTTCCACTGGGCCCAAGATCTCATTGCTGAGCTCCCTCCTGATACCACGTATCTTTCCATAGCTTGTGGATACTGTAGGGTGCTTCAGGTCAACCCGTTGGCATGAAGAAAGGGTGAGGTGTAACACTAGTCCCAAGAGCCACAGCAGACAGTGATTAGCAACCTGCTGAGAAGTATAATGACGCTTCCCACCATAGCCTTGGTGGCTGGCAGCAGTAAGAGGAAAAAACAACATGTCCAAAATAAAGGCTCTTTTAGTCATATCACTAGGACTTCAGCTGGGTGTAGAGAGGGATCACAAACTCAGTGGGTTATGGGAAATAACAAAGGCAAAAAGAGGATTTGTGGAAAGGGACCGGTTAACAGTTTTCCTAGGGTGACATGGTGAGGCCGAGGAACAGGTAGCATTCTCAGGTAGACTCTGTGGTCTCATCCGTCTTCCTCTTTGGAACTCCTGATGGGTCCAGAGCTGCAGTCAAGAAGCCAATTACACCTGGAAGACACAGACAGGTTTTGAGTCAGTGTGTGTGAATAGGTGTGCTCTTTAAGCCCTGTCAGTGTGTTTAAAAAGGCACAAGAGGACAACATGGAGAAGCTGATTTTACCTAAGATGAAGTGTTTGGAATAATGACACTTGACTGCAGATGACTCCTTTGTGGTACATTTATATTAACCCAAGGCTAAAGCTTGATTTTCTTTCTACAACAGCCACCAAGGGTTATATCTGTACTGCCATGTGATTTAGTGGTCTTGAAGACAATTTATATAACTTGTAAATACTGAGAATTTAAACACTTACAGTAACACTGCTTTACTTAAATTGAATTCTACCAATAATGCATCTACAAAAAAGCCAACTTTGCAGACTTCATACACAGAACTAGTAGTTAAGATGAAGCAAACAATGAGCCACAATCATTTATTTTTTGTGTGAATAATCAAAGCACAAGTCAAATTAAGTCAAAACTCAACACATATACTGCAGTAGAATTCACCCAAAGGGACTAATTGTTATAATGATTGAAAACATATATATTTAAATTACAAAAAAAAGAAGTGATTGAAACGTAATGCACACATGATGTAATGCATTCCTGGTTGGCAGTAGATGACAGAACAGCAAGATATCATAAGTGTTGGTGGATCATCTATGTCCACCTATAGAAGAAAGTTCTGCAGGATATTTGTTTTGTTATGTGGTCATCAGTGTCCTGTAGTTAAAGAATGTTTCCAGGCATTCTGTACTGTACTCTGATAGGTTTGTGTGTGAACTGCATTGCGGTAAATGCCTCAAAAACCTCTGCCCATGTCCTGTGGGCTAACCCATTTGTAGCGTGTTTTCCTGATTCACATTAAGCATTTTCTTACTTAAATGTGAATAAATGAAAATTCTTATCTTCCCAGTCAAGGTCATAGTCATCATTATTTTTGGTCACACAAGAAGCTTGACTCTATGGATGGCAATGCCGGTCTGTTGGTCAGATAGTCTGCCACTTTGGTCCCCACTGGGGTTGGAATAGTATGTTAATAACCGATAACCGTCTCAGACAATATCACAGTTGCACAGTGTATACATTGAAGGGTATATGGTATTGCACAATTATTATCAGTTACAAAGAACCTTAAAGAAATGAAAACAGAAGGGTTATTTTTAGTTGAGCAAATGCTTTATTATACTTTCAAATGTCCTGTATTTATTTACACTAATACTAATACAGTAGAATTCAATGCATCTGCTGCAACCATAGTAATGACTGAAATATCTCAGCAATGAATTGCATTGGTACCACTTTGGTTTATGACCATATACCTTCAAAACTAAAGACATTCCTGTCAGTTTACTTACAGAAGCGAGGTCTTACATAGAACACTTATTTCTAACCAACAACTTAAGCAAAATGTTTGCCATTTCACAGGCATTCATTGTTGCTGATAAAAATAGCAGAATGCTGTCTATAATAAGAGGCACAATTCTTTTTCTCATTCAATCTCAAACCACCAGAAAAGATAAGGCTGCATTCCTCCATGTTCAATACAAGGGTATTTCCTGTATCCATTGGTGTCTTTCCAGATTACTCATTGTTTGCCTCTGTGTATCTGTTCTCTTAACTGTCATGTTGGCCAAGCTTATTGCTACCTAACCAAGAACTACCATTGTGAGTCATGTGCATGTAGTTTTTGTTTTTTCTATTTACCAATCTCTTCTTTTGTGCCACTGTAATGCCATCTGACAGCATTATCAATATTGACACACAATTTGAGTGACATCTGTAGGCTGCATTTTGTCACTACTATTCATGATAAGTAGCTTGCTTTAGCCACTCAGGCTAGACTCTTGGTTTCCTAAATGTGTCTCAAATTCAACTTCAGATGTCAGGTCCTCAGCGAATATGTGGCATGTGTGATGCCTCCTTAATAAATTTTGGGTGCAAACACGTCTGCATTTAGATTTGTAGGATTATGATCACATCACCCCAGACACCCTGGTTGCAAAAGCTTAATTTGAGGTCCAAAGGGAGAATTTGTGAATGACCATGGTGTAATGTGGCCCCTGCTTCATATTTTCATCTTGCAGATAATTATAATATTTTGAAGTGTAAAACACTTGTCTTGTAATCATCTTGAATCCACAGAGAACGCAAAACAAATAAAAGCATGTTCACACATCATTCTGAGGAGTGAGCAAGCAAAACCCCATTGGCCCCGCACCCCTTTCAGCCATCCACACTGTGTCAGAGTTAGCCTTTCCCTCTCAACTCAGTTCAGTTGGTTCTTGCTTCCACATCATTACAGATGAATGGACAGTGCTTATCTCACTCTGGCTTTGGGAGACGGAGCCGTTTAGGTGTGATAAAGGCTTTATGTGGCGCTAACTGTTGGTTGAATGCCGCCTCATCCCTCCACCCTCAACCCTGCAATATCCACACTCCACTGCCAGCCAGCAGACACAAGGGATGACAGTAAAATACAGCGGAAAGATGGCGTGCAACATTACAGAAGGTTAGTGATGTGAGTGGTATTGTTTTATAAGAACAAAACACGAACAATAATAAAATATTGTTCATTAGCCTCTGGTGACTCTCTTTGAACTCTATTTCTGAGAAGATGTGTAAATTCTCATCAAAAAAGTTGTGTTTATACATAGTCAAGATGAAAATCCAACTTACAAAAAGATTAATGTGAATATACACAGTACATGACTAGCTAAATGTTGTTGTTTAAGAGAATCCACAAGACTTATTTGGAATAAGAGGTAGGGCTGGGTGATATGGCCTAAAAAATGAAGTCACACCACACCCAATTTATGATTTGAAGAGATTTTTTTTTCTCTTAAAAACAAACTACAAAAGACACTGTATCTTTGTAAATGTGAATGCAACTGCATCTGCAATGTCTTTTCCCATAATATCCCATATGCTATCTCATATGGGATATTATGGGAAACAGATTCTATACGTTCTGTGTAGATGAGAGACTTGAGGGGAATGGGGCTTGTTTTACAGTGTCCTTAGCACCAATATATCAACACATTACAACGTCTGTATTAAATTCAAATAATTAATCGATTAATTCATTTAAATGAATAATCGATTTACCCAGCCAAGTACATTTAAAGCAGTAGTTCCACAATATTTGCTTTCTCGCTAAGAGTTAGATGATAGTAATGTGTGCACATATTTTGTGGCTGGACATGTCCACACAACCCTCGTAAAAACCACAAATTGCAAAATTTGACAAATTGTACGCTTCTGCTTTTGTAACAATTAAACTAACAAGATATGAAATGTTAATTAGTGCGCTTTAGAGGTGTTGGTTAGCAGGATCAATTACCTTCGGACATGCACAACCATGCTAGCTGTGTCCCCGGTTTCCAGTCTTTAAACTAACCTAACATATTTAATAGAGATATGAGAGTGGTATTGATCGTCCTGCTACAAATGACACACAATCAATAGTAACAGGGATGTATTGGAAGAGGGTAAGTTCAAGAGAAATACATAAAAGGATGCAGAGAGAGACTGCAGTACTGTTAGTACAACCACACACACACACACACACACACACACACACACACACACACATTTATAACTATACAGAATACTGTACAAAGCCTTTGGTTTCAAATAACATTAAATTACACAGAGCTGCTATTACTGCTCACTGCTCACATTTGTTCTTGTTACATACCCATTTTGATTGTCAAGCCATCAGAGCTCTTAATGCGACTAAATATATACCAAGGCCAAGGTCAGAGCCCCATCAAAATACACAGTAGCTCCAGGGATGTACACAATAGTATGTCCTTACTGACTGGGATAGCATAGGTGTGGGATAAGTGTATGTAGCCTGTCAGATTGCTCTCTGTAACGCTCGCCTCCCTGCATGTACTAGCAATGACATACACACACATGCATAAAATCCAATGAGGCACGTGAATACAGACTGTAAGGTAAGCACGTACCGGTCTGTTCTCAACCTCTCACATGTGAGTTGCAAATGGTTGTACCCTAACATCCCTAACATCTGTTCACGCCAACCATCCGTGAGCTGAAACAGCGTTGAGCGTGCATCTTCACTCATAAAATGGGATAAATTGACACACAAATCACTAGGTTGTTTCCTGTTCTGTTTTATACAACAGGGAGTCCTGTCAGCTGTTTGTGAAGGTAATGTCTCTCTGCCAGTGGGACACTTTTATGGATATGTTTAAAATGGAATGGTCAGAGTGGTTTGTGAAAACTTTCGCTGGATGGTGGTGCTGGGGGAAAATGCTTGCCCAGGGATTTTAAATTGCTTTGTTTCCTCTTTGACTGTTAAAACTACATTCACTACTTCAGCTGTCAAGCCACTCTCCTCTGCTAGTTGACATCTGTGGACGACAAGCAGCTTAGCAAGCCAGAAACAGAGTGCTGAGTTTTTGACCAAACTTGGGCATCTCCTATCTACTGTCACAATGCTTAGAAAAAGGGACCTTTTAATTTAAAAATAAAACAGAGCTCTGATGGCTGTATGTTTGTATCTATATTTTTCTGCAACCAACAGTGTCCAGATACAGCAGTCTCATGGAATGATAACTGGAATGATACAAAGCACATTCACTTAATTTCTAGCCCCATAAAAACTTGCATGAGTTACGGGCCTGACCTCCGGTTATGTCTTTCATTGAACTGGCAACTGTGAGAGTTAGCGGCCCGCTACAAGTGTCTTACGTCTTTGAGATTCTGGGGAAATAACAGATGTGGGAACACGGCCTGTCACACCTTAAACTGAATAAACTGATCATGCCTCTGTCTTCTGCTGCCAGTGGTTGGGAGAACTACCAGACAAACTGGCCTTGGATGAAATAAAATTGCATATTTAGCTACTTTATTGATTTTGTTTCTACCGACGGTGAAGTGATGAACAATCTGAAATGCTCTGAGGCCTATCGGTACTTCCACAGTAACAGAGTGGAGTGCGTTTTATAAAAATGAGATTATGTAACATTTAAAA